CCTGGGACCAGCAGCAGACTGGAGACCACTTGTGTGGGGACTGACACGGGGCAGGGATGAGACCTGGGCTGGGGACAGGGATGAGAGGTCACCCCCCAGGGCCCAGCATCATCCCCAGGCACTGGACCCAGCTGGGATCAGCCCACAGCAACTGCAGCCCAGGGACTCGGCCTGGGGAGGGGGAACCTCGAGGTGGGCAGCAGGACCTGCCAGCCTCCAGATGTCTCAGGCCCTCACACTCAAAATTCAGTGGGATGTGGCTAAAACAGAGACCTTGCCTGCTGCCTTCTCTTTGACGGGGTGATGGGACGCTGCCCATTTAATTTCAAGTAATACTTGGATTTTTTGGAAGCCCATTGCCAGACACCCCCCCACTTTTCTGTCTGCTGGAATTTTCCCTGCCAGAACACGAAGGGTAAAAAGAAAAATCCCGACACCCAAGTGTCTGGCCCAGGGGGGCGCTGCGTGTGAACTTTATCTTCCCCTTCCCTACCATGACCTCTCTGCTCCACTTGGATCAGCCCTAGCAGTGATTTTGGGTGGTTTATTCATTTTCTGGGGTGGGCAGCAGCAGTTTCTCAGCCACGGTGCAGCCTTGGAGCCGGCACACAGCGCGGGGAGTTGCCCTGGATTTGCAGGACACCCGTCACTGCTGCAGCTCCAGGGAGAAGTGAAACTGCAGAGAGGAGCAGGATGGGCCAAAACCACCAAAGGAAAGGTTGTTTTCTTTCTAAACTTGGGGCAGTCCCGTGACATGTCTGTGTGCGGCAGCTGCCCCTGACTGCTTGCATCCTCTGTACTGCCATAAAACCCTTCCTGAAGGCAGGAGAGCTCCTTCAGACATACTCATCTTGCTCCAGAGAGTGCTGGATCCTACTTGGGATTCTCCAGGCTTTATCTGTTAGCTTTGATGGGTGCAGCATCCCCATTTCCTGAGCTCAGATTCCCCCTTTCCCTGCATTTTATCCGAGCAAAGGAGATGAAATTGCTTTTTGGTGGAGGAAGGGGAGCTGGTATTGCCCCCTGCTTTTTTTTCCAGCTTATCTTTGATTAACCCTGGGAGTGATGATGAATCAGCACAGTTTCCACTCGTGACACCAGGAAGGCACTTGCTCACCCTTCGTTTCGGTGGGATGGAACTGCTTGAGGAGGTGGAAAAACTGCTTGATGTTCCCCACAAAACTCAGCTGATCTTTTTAAGCCACATCCTGGGCTTTTTTTGGGGGGGTCTGCTCACTTCCTGACCAGCTCAGCTGTGCTGGTTCAGGTCACCAATCCAGTAGAAGAGTCCCCAGTCCCACAAACCATGACCTTTCTGCTTCCTTCCTCCCCCAGCTACCGGGGCCTGACTCTGGTGCTGACCTTCCTCTCCTACACCAGCTACCACCTCTCCCGAAAACCCATCAGCATCGTCAAGGTGAGCTGCAGCCTCGCCCCTGCTGTGGGGCAGGGAGCCTGGAGAGGGCACATGGGGAACGGGGTGCTGACAGCACTTTGGTTTCACCCCCTCTCTCTCTCTGTCCCTGCAGAGCCAGCTGCACCTCAACTGCTCAGCCTTGGGCCCGAACCCCCACAATGACTCCAACAGCACCACGTGGTGTGACTGGGCCCCCTTTGGTAAGGCTGAGTCCCCCCAGGCACCCCAAAACCCCACGCTTGTGGCAGCTGGGTTGGGCTGCCCCCATTCCCTAACAGCAGGTCGTGGCCAGGGTTTGGCAGGGAGCCAGCTGCTCATTAGGCAGCCGGAGGTAATTAAGTGATGAAGATCTGTCCCATGCCCCTGGGCCAAAGGGCAGCAGGAGGTGGTGAAATCCAGGACAGGACCAGGTCCCAGTGCTGATGGCACCTGGCCATGTCCCCAGAAGCTCCCATGGGGACCAGGCTTTTGGGAATGGGGGACAAGACCAAGCCAGCAGCCTCGGGGAGGGGACACAAAATGGAGGCCAGGCTGAGGTGGCCCTAATATTTGTTTTCCAGATGGGGACAACTACAACGAACTTTTTGGGGCGCTGGATAATGCCTTCCTGGTGGCCTACGCCATCGGGATGTTTATCAGGTACCCAGGGCCTTTCCCCACTCACCAGTTTGCACCAGTCTGTGGAACTGGTTTGTTTCCATGGGCATGGGGTCGTGCTAACAGGGAAGCAGCCAAGGATCCGCTCAGGGTTCGGGAGCTGGCGCAGTGTGATGATGCCCATTGCTGGCACCACCCAGCAGTGACAGCTCCTGCTGTGCTCTCCCTCTCTCTGCAGCGGCATTTTTGGGGAGCGCCTCCCCCTGCGCTATTACCTGTCGGGGGGGATGGTGATGAGCGGGCTCTTCACCTCCCTCTTTGGCCTCGGCTACTTCTGGGACATCCACGTGCTCTGGTACTTCATCATCGTGCAGGTGGGTTGTGCTGGATGGTGCCTCTCGGGGTTTGGTTGTTATTGCTGCCCCAGATGTGCAGGATGTCTCTGCTTCGGCCCGCGCGGCTGAAGAACGAGTCAGAGCTCTTCAGTTTTCGGTCTTGAAGTTGTTTATTAATTCTTGTCTAAAAAATTTTCTTTCTGCCCAGCCGAGATCTGCTCAGCAGGGCAGCCACAGGCACTCTGTGTTGTCCTTTTATACTACAAACTATGTATAACATATTTACACTTAATTCCCAATACCTATCACCTGTGTTAGACAGTGAGCTTCTACTCTAAACCAATCCAAAAGTGCCAACATCACAGCAGAAGATGGAGACCAAGAAGAAGAAGAAGAAAGGCTGAACATGCCCAAGTTCCTCCATATTGTCCCCAAAAAAACCCCCATACCAAAAATCCTAAAATCTACATTTTCACCCTGTGATCATTTTGTTATTATACTGTTTAAATTTCTGTGGCTTTCAGGTCCTCCTACAAAGCTGGTAATTTGCTCCAGAGGTCATAATCAAACCCGCAGGTGTTCTGGGCTGTGTGCCAGGGTCTCTGAGCCCCCTGGCAGGGTCCTGGCAACTCTGGACACCCGGAGGGATGCACTGAGTTCTGACAGATGCCCAGGCTTTACCTCCGTGGCCTCATCCCAGATTTTTCAGTGGCCTCCAGGGCCTGGGGTGGCCCAGTTTGTGAGCAGGGCAGCCCTGAGCATTTCCTCTCCCCACAAACCTGGCTGTGCGCGGTGTGGGCGTCGAAACCTCCGGGCGTGCCCGGCTCCGATCGGCGCGGGCAGCTGGTTTGGCAACAGCAGCCACTCCCAGTTCAGCCATGGCAGCGATGCAAACGGCCCAGGATTGCCCCAGCAGGGAAAAAACCAAACAAACCAAGTGTTTTCTTAGCAGCTTTGGTTAGGGGTGGCTGTTTTCGAGCCCAGTTGCCCAAGCAGTGCAGGGCTCCGTGGCTGTGCTCGGTGCTTGCTGGGTGATGCTCCCATCTCTTTCTTGCAGGTCTGCAATGGGCTGGTGCAGACCACAGGCTGGCCTGCTGTCGTGGCTTGCGTTGGAAACTGGTTTGGCAAAGGAAAGTGAGTTTTCTCCTCTGTGTCCCGTGCCAGTCCTGGTCCCTGTTGGCCCTGGCAGCCCCCCCAGTGCCACTGACCCGGCTGTGTCCCCACCAGGAGAGGTTTGATCATGGGCATCTGGAACTCGCACACCTCCGTTGGCAACATCTTGGGGTCGCTCATCGCCGGCGCCTGGGTGTCCTCTGCCTGGGGCCTGTCCTTCATTGTGCCTGGCATCATCATTGCTGTCATGGGCGTCATCTGCTTCTTCTTCCTCGTGGAGTGTGAGTGTTGTCATCTGGGGCAACGCACACAACCAGTATAATATGTACAATTTTCCACCTTGTCCATCTCTAAGCATTTTTGGCAATCCCAAACGCTTATTTCCAACCTGTGGCTGGCAGGGATGTGGATCTGACCACCATGGGGATGCTCAGCATCTTTGGGGCTGTCCAGGCAGGCTCATCCCCCATACCAGTCACTTCTCTGGGCCTGTCTTTCTAGGAAATATCAGGGGAGTCTTTTGGGTTTTTACTGGGGAAGAGAGCACCCAGAGATGCAGCCCAGACCTGGTGGTTCCCAGCCCCTGTGGGATGCTGGAGGGACAGCAGGAGGGATGGGGTTGCTCCAGGCTCTCCTCACAGGGTGTTCTCTCTCCCTGCAGATCCTGAGGATGTTGACTGCAATCCACCTCAGCATCACGTGAGTGGCGCCGATTCCCAGGGGGCCTGTCCTGGCCTGGGTGACACAACTGGGTCAGCAGGTTGTAACAGCAGGAATTGGAGCAATGTTCAGTTGTCATAGGGGATGGCTGTTGCTCTTCCACTGGGAGCATCCTCTGGGTCATGTCCCAGCAGCAGAGCCAATGTTTCAGCCTCCTCCAGCCACGAGAGCCACATGTGCTGCTTTTGGCTTGATTGTAGACGGCTGCTGATGAGGATCCTGGAGGAGTGACCACCAGTGAGAAGGATCCTGAAGCAGTGATCTCCAACGAGGGCCCACTCAGCCTCTCAGGCCAGAGCAGTGTGGATCACTCCAAGAGCCCCAAGGAACCCGCTGAGAAGCCCGAAGCCATCAGCTTCCTTGGGGCACTCCGGATACCTGTGAGTGCTGGGATGGAGGAAAGAGCAAAGCCAGGGCATCCACAGGGACACAGGAAAACCCCACCATCCAGAGGAGGCTGGGCTCCCCTGATGTCCCCTCCTCTCCTCCCAGGGCGTGGTGGAGTTCTCCCTGTGCCTGCTCTTTGCCAAGCTGGTGAGCTACACCTTCCTGTACTGGCTGCCCCTCTACATTGTCAACGTTGGTGAGTTTTGGGGACAGTGAGGTGGGAGTGAGCCTTGCAAGGGGAGCATCTCCTCACCCCTCTCCTCTCTCCCACAGCTCATTTCGGTGCCAAGGAAGCTGGGGACCTGTCGACCCTCTTTGATGTTGGGGGTATTTTAGGTTCGTCAACATCCCGGGATGGAGGGGGTGGATCTGGGATGATTTAGGGACAATCCTGGCCTTGACCAGCCCTGACTGGTCCCCCCCACAGGCAACACCATCTCTTTCCCCCAGGAGGCTTATTCAGTGGTTCACAGCACCCAGCAGGCAGCAAATGCCCCTCCATTTTATTTTGGCATCCGTTTGTTTTGCCGACCATCACAGCCTCTTCCCATCATTGCCATCACAGCCTCTTCCCTCAGGTCTCGCTTGCTCAGGCTCTCCTTTTCCTGCAGTTTGCAAGCATGGAAGAGACCAGAGTGCCATGAAAGTGCAGAGAAACCATCTGCAGGGAGGAATGGAAGGGATAAATCAAAGCTCTTCACTCTGATATTATTATGTTAAACCTTGGGGGCATGCTGGTCAGAAGATGGGGGATGAAAGAGCATCACGTTGATTTTGGGCTGAGTCAGGGCAAATCTCTGCCTTTGGGGTGGTGTGGGTGACACCTGTGACTCTCCCTTGCAGGGGGGATCTTGGCTGGCCTCATCTCTGACTACACTGGCGGCAGAGCCACCACGTGCTGCGTGATGCTGGTGGTGGCTGCTCCCATGGTGAGCTGTCACACGGGCTCCAGGCCCGTCACGAGGCTTCCCCTGCTCCGGCTCCTTTGAGTCACAGCTGCCTTCCTCCTCCTAGGCTCTGGGATGAGCTGGTCACGCGCCCAGCTGGGATAGAGCTGGGATTGATTCACGTGCCCAGATGTTCCTGGGGAGGATGTCCAGCTCTAGGGGCTGGGGAGGGATTGCAGAGGCCTTGGCAACTAAAAATACCCTGTAGGTTTTTTCCATCCTGCCATAACTCTGCTCAAAGCCTCGGGGGTCCCACCGAGCCCGTCCAGCTTTTGTCTCTTTGATTTTCATCCCAAAATCCCCCATGCCAGCGGCCTCATGCTCCACTGGAACTTGGCCTGGACATCCTTCCAGGCACCTGCACAGAGCTCATCTGGCTTTGCTTCCACGACATGGCTAATTAGCTGCAATCCAGTCCTGGCTGGCTCTGGGGTGGGAGCCTCTCCTGCTGAAGGGGCTGGCACGTGCTGGGAAGCAGAGGGGCTGCATCACATCCATGGCCCCAAAAGCACCACTGGGGCAAATTATGTCTGGCTGCAGCTGTGGGACGTGGCAGAGCCTCCCTGGCCATAAATCATGGCAGCACCTTTGTTTGCCAGCTGCCAGGTATTTCATCATGCCAGTGGGATGCAGAGGTCAGGGTGCGCTCAGTCCCCCATCCCTGCTTGGCACAAGCAGTAATTCAGGTCCCACATTCTCCATCCCATTCCCAGGGTGCTGCTGCAAGGAAAACTCTTGGTAAAACAGCTGGAGCAGCCATAACTGGTTCACCTCGTGTCTCTTTTCCAGCTGTTCCTGTATAACCATGTGGGTCAGAATGGCATTGGTGTATCAGTAGGTAAGGGGATCCTTGGTGCAGCTTGGTGCTGTCACTGAGGTGGTGATGGAGGGCACTGAGGATTCACCTGCCTTTATTCCTCCTCTTGAGCCAGGCTCCAGGCTGAATCTGGGAGAGGGTGTTGGATGGGTGGTCACTGCCTGCTGGGTGGGATCCTCATGGGAAATGGAGATGCACAGGAGATGGATGTGTGGGACAGCAATGTCCACACATGGGGTGGGGATGATGGGTCCAATGCCCTGCTGCTCCCTGCCCCTGAAGATCTGATCTCTTCCCGGGTACCCTGCAGCGATGCTGATCATCTGTGGAGCTCTGGTCAATGGGCCCTACGCGCTCATCACGACAGCGGTGTCGGCAGATTTGGTAAGAGGTGCCCGTGCACACCCAGAGGCCGTTCCCTCTTTCCCAGAGGGATTTTTGCACTTTACCTTTGTTTTCCAATTCCTCCAAAGCCCATTGGAGAAGGGCAGACTGTCACTGGTGCTGCACTCTGCACCCTCCCTTAAACACAGGGCATTTTCCTGTTGCTTTTTCACCTTGGCCACATGACTGTGTTTCAGCTTTGCTGCATCTCCCTCTGAGCACCAGCAGAGTGGAAATATTTGGTGGCAGATCCCCTGAAGATTTCTGCCTGCTCTTGGGGATCCATGGTTTGCCTGCAGGCAGCATTTGAGTTTGGTATTTCCATCCGTGGCTGGGTCTGACACATGGAAATTGCAGCCTGGGACATAATGCTCACTGGGAAATGCCAGCCAGCACCCCAAAGCCTCACTGGGGAATGCCAGCCAGCACACCAAAGCTGCTTCTGCTCCTCATGTTTTATCCCTCCATCCTTACAGGGCACCCACGAGTCTCTCAAAGGAAATGCCAAAGCCCTCTCGACCGTCACGGCCATCATCGACGGCACGGGATCTGTCGGTGTGTCCTGGGGGGTCTGGGGGTCCTGTCCCCTCTCAGGTGGGGACAGGGCTCACCTGGCTCCTGTGCCCCGCAGGTGCTGCGCTGGGGCCGCTGCTGGCAGGGCTGATCTCTCCCACGGGCTGGAATAACGTGTTTTACATGCTGATAGCAGCTGATGTCCTGGCGTGTCTGGTAGGTGTCTCCTGGCAGGGCTCCTTTCTCTGCCCTGGGTGTCACAGCTCCCTTTCAGCTGCCTGCTCACTGGTGGAGGGCACAGATGGTTCTCCAAAGACATCCAAGGCAAACTGCAAAGGCCTCTCTTGGCTCTTGGTTTTCTCAGCTTTTACAGACATGGGGTAACTGAGAGGTGTTTTACACAGATAGTTGAGTTATTGCTTCCTCACATGAGGCATCATTTGTTTTCTCAACTTTTACAGAGATGGGGTAACTGAGAAATGTTTTAAAAGATTTTATTCTATTATCAGTCTCAATAAATAGTGAGACACAAAAAACTCAACACCATTCCATCACAAACTAACCTTTTTCCTAGTTACAATACCTTATAAATGTTTTTCAACCTATAAAATTTTACTACACCATACTACTATTACTTTTAACACTAATCTATACTTTTTCTTCACATAGTCCTACTACAATACAATTTTACACAATTCTAATTCTCTAAAATATTTAATCCTTCTACAAAACCATATTTTGAAACTTATTAAAACCTATTTCTAGTTCAATCTCTCTGTCAACAATGTCATCTCTATTCCATAACCTTCCTGAGCCAACACACCTTATCTCAGTATTTACATACAAATATACAAGACTGTGTCAACTTTCTATCAAGCTTTGAGAATTCTTCACAAATCTATTCCCCACAGACTCCAAACCTCTGCTCTCACTTGGCTTTTCCCAACAACCTCCTCCTTGCACAGGTTTAGTTCATATGACCTTTCCTGGGAAGAGCTGTAGGGTTGATCTGTTGGTGGTGGGATGATTCCTGCCAAGGCTGGAGGCTGCAGTGTCCCCATCCTGCTGTAGAATTGATCTGCTGGTGGTGGGAATACTCCTGCCAAGGCTGGAGTATGCAGTGTCCAGAGCCAGATGTGGAATTTATCTCCTGGTGATGGGATGATTCCTGCCAAGGCTGGAGGATTCAGTGTCCACAGCCAGATGTGGGATTGATCTCCCAGTGATGGGAATACTCCTGCCAAGGCTGGAGGATGCAGTGCCCCCATCCTGCTGTAGAATTGATCTCCTGGTGATGGGAATACTCCTGCCAAGGCTGGAGTTGCAGTGTCCACAGCCAGCTGTAGAATTGATCTCCTGGTGGTGGGAATACTCCTACAAGGCTGGAGGATGCAGTGTCCACAGCCAGATGTGGGATTGATCTCCCAGTGATGGGAATATTCCTGCCAAGGCTGGAGGATGCAGTGCCCCCATCCTGCTGTAGAATTGATCTCCCAATGATGGGAATACTCCTGCCAAGGCCGGAAGCTGCAGTGTCCCCATCCTGCTGTAGAATTGATCTGCTGGTGGTGGGAATACTCCTGCCAAGGCTGGAAGCTGCAGTGCCCCCATCCTGCTGTAGGATTGATCTCCCATGATGGGAATACTCCTGCCAAGGCTGGAAGCTGCAGTGCCCCAGCCTTGCAGCCGTCCTCCACCCTCCCTTCCTCTTGCAGCTCCTGGCTCGCGTGGTGGTGAAGGAGGCCCGTGGCTGGTGTGGCCCCATGGCGAGGCAGAGAGGGTACGTAGCTGCCCCCCCGGCGTGGCCCCTGGTGCCAGGGTGCCCGGGCAAGGTTTCAGTGCTGCTGCAGAAGGATGTTTGTTACCCCTTGCTGTCGCTGCTGCATCTCCGCGTGGGCATCGCGAGGCCGCCGGCCCCGTGTCCCGCTCACGGGGCCACTGAGGCATTTCCACCTCCAGCCAAGGCAGCACCCGGGGGATGTTAGCCACCTGCACCTCAAAAAACCACTTGGGGTGTTAAACACGGTGTCCTTGTGTCTTTGTAGCTCTAGTGTGCAGCTAACAGAGTCAGTGATGGATGGGAAGTAGCTCGGTGTAAGTATCTTCACTTGAGCTTGAGCATTAAATGCAAACACAAGCCTGATCCATTCTGATTCTGAGTTTCACTTTGCAGGCTCAGCCTAGAAATAGCCGCTGCTCCAATCATTTAGGGCCGAGATCAAGATTTGGGAATCAAAAGATCAAATTGCAATGGCCAATTGTGGGGGAGTGGGAGGAAGGGGGGAGAGGGAGGTGTGTTTGGGCAGTGCATCCTCGTCTCTGGCTGATTTAGCAGATACTGACCCAGATGCCCAATCGATTGGCATTGATTAATGCACTTCAAACAACTGAATTTGTAGGCTTTGCCCACCTGTGCAACTGAGCTTGATTACACACAGCCAGGGCTGGCTAATCAGACCTGTAGGCCAATCACCGCGGCGAGTGTATAAATAATCCCCAAATCAGCACTGCCCCGGCTCTGATTGCCACCACCATCCCCGTGTGACACCTAAAGGAGGGGCCACAGCCTGTCCTGGCCGTGGGACTGCCACACCCCGACCCCTGCGAACGTTCCGTCCCTTATGTCTTGTGTTTGCAGGTGACACACCAACAGTCTGGGCCTCGTGCTGCGGTAAGTGCAGCCCAGATGTGCTGGTGGAGGGCTGCAGGCTCTGCTCTCTCCTGCCGCGGCTGGTTAGGGTGACAGCTGTCCCAGGGGTGGCAGAATTCGTGTCTGCACCAAACCCTGCCTGGTTTCTGCTGGGGGAAGCAGCTGGCTCAGGTTGTGGCAATACTGCAGTGTCCTGAGGGCTTTGGGGAGCGTCTCTTGCAGAGAAGAGGCACAAACGCTGTAGGATTTTTGGGGACATTTCAGCTTTGGCCGGAGACACAACAGTGGCCGGATCTCCTGCTGGTGCCTGCTTCTCCTCCTGGGGCTGAGCTGTTTTCCCTTTCCATCTCCGCAGTGCCCACATCCATCCCAGCGCCTGTGCCCGCCCCGAGCTTTAAGGAGGTTTCTCTCCCGCAGGTTTAAGGAGTTCTGACGCGTCCCTGCGAGCCCGGAGCGAGGACAGAGCTGGGGCACCGGGGGGAGCCGGGCACGGCCCCGGCCCGGCCTGGGCACGGCCCCGCGGGCACTGCCAGCACGGGTTTGATCCCAGCGGAGGAAGGGGCGAGGAGTGGCCACAGGGCCCTGGCCAAACGCTTTTCTGGGTCAATTCTGCACCATCGGCCGTTTTATTAATAAAAACGTGTAAAATCTGTGTGGCCGCTCCGTGCCGTGTCCTGAGAGGCTCGGCCAAGGCTGTGAATACCCGGGGGCAGTGACCACACTCCTATCCTTGCTTTTCTCTTGTTTGTGGGCCTGGCCCATCCAGGCCCTGCTTGCTATTCCAATGCCCTGCTTGGTATTCCAGGGTCTGGATCAGGAGGATGGTGCCAAATCACTTCAGGCGCTGCCTCACCAACAAAGCACTGCTTATTCTACACAGGCAACATCCCCGGGCTGAGCCCAAATTAAGCCAGGCTTACTCCTTGACACATCCCACTGCAAAAAGAGACTAAACCCGATGTTTTTTCTCATTATTAATTTTCCAAAATCATACAGTTTAGCTCCAAAAGAAGAACATGCATGAGCCTTACACCGTGCTGAACTGTTCTCAC